CGTGAGACGCTTTCTAATCCTTCTTCTGAAACCAATAATTACTAGTACAATGAAACCAGTACTATCTATATATCAGCAGTCTGTCACGAACTGAACTCAGAAGACCAGTGAAGACGCCAAACACAGTAAAAAATAGATTAAAAAGTCTTTATTTTTAGCAGAGTTACCAGATGGGCGAGGCTGGAGACAGTGTCGGAGACAGGCTAAGGTCAAAATGGCAGGCAGGATACAGGCAAAAAAACAAGGTCCAGAGGCAAAGATCAGGCAGGGTGGATGGCTGGAGAACTACTGGCAAGGCTGTAATAATCTGGCAGGGAACTGGTGGTTTGCTGGTGAATATATAGTAGGGGAAGCAGGTGTGTAAGATGAGCTGATGAGTGAGGAGCAGGTGAAGTGGAAGAAGCTGATGAGGTGTAGGTCAGGTTGCTGTGGAAACCAGGGCTTGGCTTGAGCTTGGTGAAGGGACCAGGTGAGCTGAATGAAGGTATAATGAGGAAGTCGAGGAGGGTGAAGGACGGGAGTCATGACACAGTCATTTAAATTATTACACAAAATGATTACAGGTGTTTTTTTTGCAAACCAGTGTTTTTTAGAAAACACTTAGAAATGTGAAAAAGTTTTCCATTTTTGACCTTAGCCGGCGATAATGGTTCCATGTTTGAAACCCTAACCCCTAACCCCTAACCCCAAGGCAATCAAAAACGTCCCTTAAATATTTTAATATTGTGTAAATTGACTGCATTTCCATGTAAGCTCCAAATATCATGAAGTTACATAAGGTGTGCAAGACTTTACATTATCTTGGGAAACTGAATATTCAGTGTCATAGGAGAAAAACATTCTCAGAGACTTTTTACCAGGGGAATAAAGGAGAAAAGGAATACTAACTTTTAAAAGAAGATTTTTATCATAGCTTCGTTTGTCTCTTTTAATAAACAGCAGGGTCAAGCATAATCCATGGACTTCAAGCAGACAGCAACACTGATGGTTATGACAAAAGATTGTAGAGTACAATAAAAAACAGGCAGATATAATCTGGAATAAATGTAAACACATTCTCTCTTACGCCGAAAGGAAATGATCACGGGGGAACTGTGGGAGTGTGAAGTTCCATCTACTGGTCTTTTTGCTGTTCTCACTTGGTTGGAAGTTGTTTGTTACATTTATATATTTTAAAGTTATTACAGGTGTCTATTAATTTTAGAGATAATGTATTTTCTGTGAACAGCTTGCATATCAGCTTTATTTCCATGCATTTCTAGAGTGTCTGATGAAACGTGCTTCAGATGCAGGTGCAACTTGTTTGTGTTTCTGTAGTTGAACAGGAAGTTCACAGGTCAAAGTTTATGTAAAAGAATTGCCATTTTAGATGTTCTGCCTGGACACCTGCATCAGATGCACTGTTTACAAACATCTTCATGTAGAAATATTGTGAATAGAAACTACTGGAGGTTACTGGCATTTAGTAGAGTGACGTGCATCTGGTATTTGATTACAATCACAGGAATGAGGCCAAAGTCTTGTATTTGTAAGCCACCTGCCATCAGTTGCTTCCTCTGAAAAGAACCTTTCCCACAAATACACTCCTTAATTTTAACACTGACACACATGCATACATACACCTCCCTTTTCCTGGAGTCCTGGAGTCAGACTGGAAGACTGATATATTTGTCAAACTTTAGCACCCCCCCCCCCCCCCCCATTTCATTTTAAGGGCGAAACTCTAAAAGCATAACACTATATAGTTGATAACATGAAGACGAGAGAAAATAATCCAGCTCGTTATTAATATATTCTCAAAAGAGGCCAGGAATGAAGGAAAAGGAAACAAGACTAGATTTGCTCAGAAATATTCTCATTTCCTTGTTAGGACAACCATTGTCTGTTTACTTTCCACTTTCTGAAGCTGTAGATGCCCCGGTGCAGTGTTTTTGCACATAGATAACGTTAAAGAGCATCCTTCACTTCACTAAAGGTTGGCTAAACTAGCTTCCTCACATATACTTCTTTTTCTAATTAAGTGATTTACATCCAAGCAAAGTGCCATACACTAGATCACTGGGCTACATGAAGACTGAAACAAGCATTGTCTTTGCTTGACTATTTATTACAATGACCCACATGCTATCTTTGCTCCATTGCCAGCTGAATGAGAAAGTGTTTCTTTGCTCATCTGTTTCTCTCTCCCTCTCTTCAAATAGAGGCTAATAAGTTAGCTGACTGCAATCCAACAGAAACACTGATTAAAAAGACATTTATTCTTTGCTCAGACATGCTGCATTTTGCATGCTCTAACATAGATATCTATTCAGCACACACTTTATAACAGAAAAAATTATTTTGTCAATATTTCATATCCTCATGTAATCACAAAAAGTCTAAAGCAGCCAAAAGTGCTGGTCATGAAACTGTGAAAAAAAAGCTGACATGGATGATTACAATGGATCTTCCTTTGATGACCTGCTGCTGCCTTACATGACCTTTGACATGTGTGTGCTCTGCAAAGAGGAAGGGTTGAGTTGATAGCAGAAACTGGCTGACACTAATGAGACAGCAGTCCCAATAAGATGGACGAGCTGAGGAAAAATGAAATCCTTCCAACAATCCCATGTGTTCCTGGATGTCTCAAGAAAGCACAGGAGCTGAAATGTGCAGCTTGCGATAGTTGCATGGAAATAACATACATACGTAATGCACATTTGCGGAAAAAGAGTGCAGACTTTATGTAAATCCTGCAGAAGCTACTTTATTCCCATTCTATTTGACATCAGATTTTTCACAGGTTTAGAGTCAGCTTTTTGTTTCAGTGCCAGAGCAGAGAGTCTGTAAAATGGGTAATGAAAAGCGAACTAAATCGTTGGATCCAGAACAGCAAGGGCGTCCAAAGTGACTCCTAATTGTCCATAACCACAGTCAGTGATAACACTCCGGGTGGGGCTAATATGCAATAAAGACACACTAATAACTTTACTTGTTTGAAATTTACATAGAATATTTGCATCTCATTTTCTTATTCCAATACACTATTTTGCATTTAAGATCCACACACACTACTTTTACTTGGCAAAAAACAACCACTCATTTGGAGCGTACACATGTATACACACCATGCCAATACATAAATCAAATGATAATTGAGTAGTGCTCTGCCAGTAATAAACAGAGTAGTATAAACAGTCAGTGTCTGGGCTGGATACACCACCTCCCACTGGCACGCCGCTGGCTGTCTGCTGCCTGGTAAACTAACACACACACACACACACACACACACACACACACACACACACACACACACACACACACACACACACACACACACACACACACACACACACACACACACACACACACACACGAACAGGCCCTTACGGTAATGTTAAAGCACAAAACACCCCATCGGTCGAGTTCATAGACACTGGAGTAAAAACACACATGTGATATGATAGGAGGAAAAGACACACAGCAGCACTGATAGCAGTAAAATGTGAAGAATTTTTGCAAAAGTCAACACAAAGAGAAGTCATATCTCTAAAGTTTTATAAATGAGAACAAATAGAAAGGGTTGAGCTATTGGTGCCACAGGAGTCTGGAATTGTTTGTTTTCACTGGGCTGTGCATACATCATTCCACTGGGATAGTCAAGCATGGGCTTCCTATGATTCCTATTTTAACTAAACCCTACGTCCCCAACTTTATATCTAGCAAATGGTTAGAATAACGAGAGTGTTCCAACAGTCAATCAGAGTTACTTGGATGGCTTCGGTTTGGTTGGAGAGCCTTATAGAACAGCACAGTTTGGTATTTTTATACAACTTTCCAGTACCTGTTTCATGGTGATCCCTAGTGTGCTGAGCCGGTCTGAAACACAACATCAGTGGCTGTTGGTCACCAAATGGCTAGGGTCACTGGTTGTTCCAGAATTTTCTGGCCATAGGAGTTTTAAACAGAAACAATCTTACATTGAGAAATTATAGAGCTCAAGTTTTTTGGTCAAAACGGAAAAGTCATATGTGCAATCTAAAGTAATATCGCAAAATTTTGCTCAGGCTGTTGGTATTCAACACAAGTGATTAGGGATGTAAGAAAATATCGATATGGCAATATATTGTGATATTTTTTCCTGTGATAATACTTCAATATTCAAAAGCTGTGTATCTAATTTTTGGAAGAATTCACATCATTATGTTTAAAACTTTGGCGCATTCTTTTCTCTTGATGCAATCCAAATGCCGACCGCTAGTTGGCAGCAGTGTGCAATGGGTTTTGTTTCCACCATTGAAATGTCAATCCCTCTATTATGGTTCAGATACCTCATGTTAAACATGTTACATATCAGTTTGGACTGTTTATTGAATATTCCTACAAATAAATCAGTAAAAAAATTGCTAATAATGTCTGACTGAATGTATCGCAGTATACCGTGATACATGGTTTTGTCTCTCCTGTATCATTATATGTATCGTACCACCGTAATTTCACCAATACACATCCCTACAAATGACTCTCAGCTAATCCCATATCAAGTGTTAGCTCAGTATCTGTAAAATACATTGACTTTAAGCCATTTTATGTTAGAGTCAGTTTTATTAATTGTGGTGGCCATCTTTACTTAGATTGACTTTAAAAGTTTGTGGATTTACATTTTACAAAAAATGAACATTGATCGTTTTCTACTTTTTTTTCCCTTTTTTTTACCAACCTAGGTCTGCAGACATTTACAAAACCAAACATTAAAACATGACATCAATCGATTCAAATGATGGATTGTTGATAGGCCAAAGAAAGTATTCGTGGGAGAGTTTGTATAAAGCTAAAGGCATGAGTAAGTGCAAGTGGTCTTAAGTAGGAGTATATGCTTGGAAAGTTGACATCGCATGGATTAGGCTTTTATAAATAGAGCTCTTTATGATGAGCTGAACTCTTACAAAGAACCCTGTTCTCTGAGGACACTCAGATGATGTGTTAAGGACATAAATACCACAGACTTTTTTGATCCTCACCTTTCAAGATCGGTCATTTTCTTCTCCTTGCAAGATTTGTCAATTTCCGCATCGTTCAGAGCTCCTTTTAGTCGCTCCACCTCTGCTTGGGACTTCCAGGACTCATCTCTGTAGCGGGCCACTTCCTGCTCCAGAAGCCGCAGACGCTCTGCAATGTCTGGACACATTCTGACTGCCTCCTCTGTCTTTTGGGTCTTCAGGTGTGCATGTGTGTTTGTGTCAGTGGTGGGAGGATGTGAAGGTAAAGGACAGGCACATAATGAATAAATTGGCAAGCATTCACAGTTTTAGACATAAAAACATAGATAATATGTTTATGAAATTATTTACAATTATTGATTGAAAAATGATAGTTTAGGGGTACTTCGGGTGTTGAGGTGCATGTAAAATTAACAGAATGCTGACAAAGGTTAGCGAACCTAAATGAAAAATATTTTCCATCACCAGATTTTTTGCTGCAAAGCAAGGAAGCTGTAAGTTTCTTCAAAGTAAAAGTTGTTTATTTTGATATCTGTAGTATATTAAATAATAGAAAAAGTTACTGAATAAATAAAATCCTTCAAAATTACCATTATTACTTTTATAGGACATCTAAACAACACAGTGGCGCAGTGGTTCGTGCTGTTGCCTTGTAGCAAGAAGGTCCTGGGTTCGCTTCCTGGCCTGGGATCTTTCTGCATGGAGTTCTCCCTGTGCATGCGTGGGTTCTCTCCGGGTACTCCAGCTTCCTCCCACAGTCCAAAATCATGACTGTTAGATTGATTGGTCTGTCTAAATTGTCCTTAGGTGTGAGAGTGTGTGTGTGCATAAATGTTTGTCCTGTGTGTCTCTGTGTTGCCCTGCGATGGACTAGCACTCTGTCCAGGGTGTACCCCGCCTGATTGCCCATTGACCGATAGAGACAGGTACCAGTCCCCCTCGCGACCGTATGTGGATGAACAGGTTCAAAAAATGGATGGATGGATGGATCTAAATAACTAAGCTATAAATTCGATCATAACAAAGCCAGTGTAAGGTAATTATTGGGAGCTAATAAATAACGTGTAAAGTCTTGGCTTCAACTTTTTACATTTAACAAGCCCTGTGAGAAAAACAAAATACTAATAAAATAATCATAAGTAAAATGATCTAATTCAGCTAAGGTACTGTGAGTATAGGAAATAAATTATTAACTGACTGGTTCAGTGGCGTGTCCAGATCTTTTAAAATGGGGTGGCCCAGGTGAGGCACAACTTTGTGCATGGGTGGCACCAATGGTTATGCTTTTTGTGTTTTACCCCCAAGCCTTTTGTGGACAATGAAAAGCCTATTTAAAGATAAATTAGTGTGGTGGCACCTGGGGTGGCCAATCATATTCCAAGGGTGGCATGTGCTACCCCAGGCCACTCCCTGGACACGCCCCTGGACTGGTCGAAGCACTTTTGGAACTTGCAACATTCATAATAGATTAAGCAGGTTTAAACAAGGGCATAAACATTATCAGGGCATTATACTCATGACAATGAGATGAAAATTGTGTAATATTTAGGAGTTATGTTGAGCATTTTGGTTTTCGTCTAACTCTTCTTGAACCAATCCATTCAAAGCACACATATAAACACTGTTTCTTCCTTTTAGGTTGGACAATGAAAAAAAGCTTCTGATGCACCAAAACTTATTCTACAAACGTATTAAAATCTGCAGTGTTATAGAAGTTTAGAAAACTACAAATTATTTTGTCCACGTTTACTTTTTCATGTGCATGAACAGGACAATCAAACCCTTTACAAAGTTTTTATTTGCTGCAAATTATTTTATAGATATTATCCGTGGCCAAATTGTGATCGGCAGAAGCTTTACCGGTTCGCACCTCGCTTTTTTTTACAGCAGCGGCCCAAAACAATCTCCTAACAAGTGGATTTTTTGATTCCTGATCATGTGACGTGTGACACATGTGGCTGAAGATCGGCTTTAGAGCTGGGGTCTATGTTCTTACAGTGTGTGTGTGTGTGTGTGTGTGTGTGTGGGGGGGGGGGTCGTTCCGACGCCCACCCATTAAAAAATGTAAGTGTAGTTGCAACACTAAAGTCGTCAATGGCAGCAAGCAGTTGGATTTAAAATGACAACTTTTGTCATCAATGGCAGCTAATGAGTTAAATGATTCCCAGTTTTTGACAAATACTGGCAGGTTTGTAACATCTAGTCATAAAAATTGGGTCTAAAATACACAAGAGCAGGTCTAATTCTCTGGGCGACACCATTTTAGATATAAAGTTTCCTTCTACGAGAGCCTGTGAGGACAACATGCATTTATTGATTTGTAACAAGTGGTTACAAAACTCTTTTACACATTTACCTCCACTCGTTGCCAGTGATGAAGGGGAGTCTGCTTGTCATTTTGCTGGAGGGTCTGACAAAGCACTAGTTCGAAAATTGCGCTCCAAGGGATTTTTGACCCTAATGGCCCTCCAATGGTAAGATCTTACTTGAACACAAAAACATTGGTTGCTTGCAATGATTTAGATATGTACTGGCCCCTATCGCCAGAAAAATACAGACTGTCACTTTACCAACCAATTAGTTTTACATTGGTTATGACACACTCACAAAAATTTACCGAGACCAAACTATAATCTACTGAAACATTACTTTATTACATCTAATATGTTATCATTTAACCAAATAAAGACCAAAAACAGAACCACAAAAACAAGGAACTTACTGTCGGGCTGATGGTGGGAAACCCATCTAGTTTGGTCAGCACCTAAAAATGAATACAAGAAACGTTTTTGCTGAAAATATGAAAATAAATCTGTTTATGTACATGAGTAAACCACTTAGTACAGGACTGAGACATTAAATATTAGAGAAGTCAGATTTGAGATTATTTTACAGGCAGCTTTGGAAAACAGTTGTGGAAGAACCCAGTACCCTCGTGTACGCAACCCCTCTCAGTCGCTTTGTGGTTTCCCTCCTTCATTTTGCCTCCCCGGGGCATCGTTGATGGGGAGTTTGGAGTTCAGACATTATCAATTTCAAATTACTGACTCCCTGTGTTTGACTGTGATTTTATGAGAATACCACACATCTCAGTTTTATTAGTTCATTTTCTGTTTGGGTTCTTTTTTTTCTACACAGTTGAGTTGATCCTGAAGAAAATATCCCAGAGGTGCTTTCTAACCTAGAATTATCCTTCTCCTCTTGACTTCCCCACATTCTACCTCTTTCTGTCTACTGTTTGTGAAGATTGTTTAACTTGTTGAGACAGCTGAGGCCAATTATTTAAACATCATCAACTTAATGTGCACAAACACTTATACACACAAAGTTGCTTTCAGTCGCTTCACATTAACTTGCTCTCGTTTCCTCAACTAACCCCTGACAAGGAGATTCAAGAAAAACATCAACCTACGTGACCTTTTTTTTAAAGAATCCTGGGATTTTCCAGTCCTAAAAATATTGGTGTCACTTTTTAACAAATAAAAGCTGGTGGTAATGAATGATTACGGAAGTATTTTGACTGACAAACTATTAAAGGTCAAGTTTACTCCTATTTTGAGTACATTTGCAGGGGTCTCTATTTGAATGAATGCCATGTAAGTTTCTTTCTGGATAAAAAGAGCTCAGACGCTCCTGTTTGAGGACGTAGAAGTCAGCAAGAAAAGGTAGCTAGCTGGTTGGCTAACAGCAATGTGACTCTGTTTGCTCTGCAACATTGATGTTTTATCTCCACAAATAACACAGGTCTGATGGAGTTCTGCTATGTGGTGAAGTTGCTAATGCTAACTGTTAGCTTCTACTAGCCAAGACATTCTCTGCTGTTTCCTGGACGCTAAATCAACAACTGCCTTCCCTGCCGTGCTGTGCCATAGCTGGAGCACGTTAGTAATCAGTGCTCCTGCGGCTTTATATACAAGAGGAGGAGTGAGTCTCTACGTCGTGATGACGAGAGACGGAAACGCTGGGGTGAGTGTGTGCAGTCAAAACTGTTCACCCATGCACACATGCTGGAAATAAAATCGTAGAGCAACGGACATTCTGCAGTGTTTCCGTGGGTGTGTGACCCCAATTTTAGCTGTGTACCCTACAAACATCTATGATAATTGTAAAAAAGGAAGCTGACTACTTCACAGATTTCGTCTATTGCAGGCTATTTTTTAAACGTATCTCCTGCGATTGACAAGGGACAGCTGTAAAAGCAAAAGCTGCAAACTGGGTTTTGAGCAAATGAACTTACCCCAAAAATGACAACAAGTTTTAAAAAGACAGAATCAAAAGGCTGACTGACAGATTTGACTCTTCTAACATTTCAACAGCATATTTAGACGTTCATTAACTACTAGTAAATGTTCATGTTTTTTATATATTTTACAGCAATGTTTAATGAAATAATAGTTTCTGCTGGAATATAATTGAAGCATCATAAATCCTATTCTATTACACATAAATGATTAACGCCTTTTGTCTTTTTCTGTGAGTGTAACTTTTGTCTCCAACTAGAAGACGTGATTTTTCTCTCAGAAGCCACCGGTCCACTTGTTGTATTGACAGATGTTTTTATTATTCACTCAGACAAGCTATTAACAGTGCTTTTGCCTCAGAGCTTTGTTGACTGCGCTACATCCTCTTCCAGGTTTCATAAACCATATTTGTTGATTTGGAGTTTAATAGTCGACTCCTGGAACTAAACTCTACAAAGGGGAAAACTGCCCAGAGGAGGAAGTGACCTTTTCAGAGACTGTTGGATGAAACTGGCTTCAGGCTCTTCACTCTAAGTATTTAATGTTATTCAAAAAGCATTAAGACTTTTTAAAAATCACACAAAGGGCATGGTTTTTTTTTTTTGAAAAGATGTTCTTTAGGAGTTTTTCTTTTCTTTATATATTAAAAAGGTGGTTAATCATCAGATGGTAAAGTGATTTTTATTGATTTCCAGCTTTTTTGTTGTTTATTTTTGGGAGTTCCCAGGCACAATCTGATCAGGTGAACACCCTCCGTAAAATAGTATGGTTGATTTACAATAAAGGTACATTTCTATGAATTATAACAAAGAGCTGACTGCATGTAATTGTATCCTGACGCGTCTATCTTTGTTTAAAACCAGAAATTCCTTTTGGCCTTCTCAGGTTGGCCTTCTGTTATGGAGGAGCTAAACAAAGACCAACCTAATTAGACCAGATGAGCTCAGCTTTGCCTTGATGTTTGAAGATGGCCCCATTTGTTCCTTGCAGGATTCTAAATACTTCTAAGTTTATAACTAATAAATAGTGTGCAAATATTGTATGAATAAAGCTGTACGTCAGATCGCAACTCTAACCCACAGTAACATTATCACTGATTTTGCCCATGTGCACATGTGCCCTTCACACAGGCCACTTTTCCTAAGAAGATAAACAACACTCAATAACTCTGTTTCAGGTGACTTGGTGACCTGGATCTACGTGTTGCAATACAACAAATTCAACTACACAAGTCAAAGGATGAACACTAAAACATACAAACACTGACCAACAGCTGCCTTTGTGCAGGTATGCTGAGAAAAAAGCACCCCTTGTGCACACACAAATAAATACACAAACATGATCTACCTATATTGGAGATCTGTAAGTTTACATAACAGGTCTGATTGCTACACAGCATACATAATAGTCAAATTATGGCAACACTTCTGTCAGAGCTTGAATCTGTTTGCTGCAGAGTTACTGAGCTGCTGCGGCTTTCATGTGGTGCCACAGCAACATTCAACAAGATATCATTTCACAGGAATGAGACGTGTGTACGCTTTTTATGGGTATAAGAGAAAACAGTCTCGTAAATTCTGGCAGGGCCAGAGTGTGTCCTGGCTTGTAGGCTTAAAAGAAGAAAAGGAGAGAGAGAAAATAGCAGTAAGGCCTCTAGCTTGGCTCTAAAAGAGGGAAAGAGGGATCTTATACATCTGTAAATCACTCACTCTTAATTCATCCCTTCATCCTGTGAGACAGTGCAGCCAGGCCTTTTACTGGGGAACTGTTAATATTGTGGATGCTCACAGGGAGGTAAAAATACATGCAGGAAGCAAGCAGGACATTACAGACAGCAGAATATCCCAGAGCAGAAGTTGTTTCCAGGACTGTCTGAACTCAGTTCAGTTATTTCCAACTTCGAATTATTTTTGGTTTAGAACATTTTAAATGTACAACTTTATGCTTGTAATAATTTATTTATAATTAAAGAATAATTAAAACAAACTAATCCAATATGTATTGACCTCTCCATCAGGCTTCTGGTTCTGAGTGGAGGTGGGGTTAGTGACCCGGCTCTGGGACATCTTCTGGGGTTGCAGAGGGGGCAGTTTGTCCTTTAATTCCTGGTTTTCCTTCCTCATCTGCTCCAGCTCATCAAGCCGGAGCCTGTCCTCTCGTTCCCTTTGCTCCCGAAGGTTCTCTATCACTCGCTCCTGAGAGAGAGTGAGAGGAGAGAGAGAGAGAGAGAGAGAGAGAGAGAGAGAGAGAGAGAGAGAGAGAGAGAAGCAGCCACTGTGAGGAGAAATGTTTTATCAATCAATTAAAGAAATTTCTCGACCACTTTGCAGTGTTTCTGTGTAAATGTATGAAGCCTATTTTGTAATTCTCAGTCAGCTCCACAAGGAACATGCATTGACATAGATGTTTTGCCTGCAGACTTCTCCGTCACCTGAGTGTTGCAAACCAATTCCCCGCCACGACAACAGAGGGTGTTGCACTTTTTTGGTGTACCCTGTCATGCATTTAGGCCTAGATAGTGCATTTACGAATATGTTTTTTTGTATTTCAGATACCTTTTAAAGTGACAATGTGTAGTTTTGACCATTAATCTCCTGAAATGCTGTAGTAAATGACTTAAAATTCCCAGTTCATGAAAAATATTGTTGGTTTCACAACATATAACCATAAAAATCTGTTCTAAAATACACGGGAGCGTCTCTGGGCAATGCCATATTGGATGCCATGTTTCCTTCTACAGACGCCTGTGAGGACAAAATACATTTACTGATTTGCAACAAATTGTTACAAAACTTTCAGCATTAATAAACATTGTTGTTTTACACATTTACCTCGTCACTCGTTGCCAGTGATGAAAGGGAATCTGATGTCGTTATTTTGCTGGAGGTTGCTCTCCCAGGTATTTTTGACCCTAATGGCCATCCATTGGTAAGGTCTTATTTGAACACAAAAATAATGTTTGCTTGCAGCGATTTAGGTATGTACTGCCCCCTATCACCAGGGAAACTACACACTGTCACTTTAACACAGACACAGTTGTCTCTCATTCTCCTTCACCTCTTCATGCGCCTGCCACCTCTAAACGCACGTTTACTGTCATTTTCTTTCACAAATAAAACACTTGCTGCATATCTTTATACTCTTTCAGTCAAGGGTGAATAAATGTTCCTAATTTCAGAGATATTCTTCAAACTGTCCCATGTTTGCCGCTAGATATCTTCCGCTCTCTTTTCATTTAATTTGTTTTAGGGCAATGGTGGTGCTGTTAACAAATTAAAAAGATGCAGTGTCCTGACCAATCACTAGCTTGCACTACTCTCTCTCATTTGACAGATGTTTAGAAAATTGAGCTAGACTCTGTCCATCCTTGCGTGCCTGTTGGAGAGCCCTCACAATGATGAATAATTGTGTTGCATGTCTCCATAGCGACACAAACGGAGAAGCATAAATTAGCATAAATTAGGCTTAGCTTGCTACTATCTTGCTTGGTGCTTATAGCATCCTGTTTGTAAAAAATGCAGAAAGGGTCAAACTCTGGTTACCGGTGATGGTTGTCAGCAGTACCGGGACCAGAGTGAATAGGGTGTGTATGGGGAGCATGAGTGGGTGTCCGGTGTGCATTTTTTGTAAGTCTTGGGTTTTATGTGCATGTGTGAGCATGAGGGAGGGATGGTGTGACTGTGTTTGTGTATGACTGTATATGTCAGGTGGGGCCTTTGACTCCTCCCCTCTCCTGGAACTTCTCTTGATGATATAGATCTTTGTCCCCCCCCCCCCTGCCACACCTGGTGTGAGGGGTTGTGCCATGGTCTGCCTGAGTGTTCGTGGCAACCGGGTCTGGGGGTTCAAGATTTTGCCATCTGCCTGATAGATCCCGGTGGCTGCCTGGTGGGGTCTGGGTCCCTGGGCTCTGCTGGGTCCCCGGCGGGAGTGGTCGCCCCTGGGTCCCGGGTCGCTGGGTCCCGGGCTCGGCCAGCTAGGGGGTGGGAGGCTGCGGGCGGGCCTGTGGGCTTGCCGCTGATATCTCCAGGGACTCTGCCGGCTGCTGGTTGTGGCCCCCCGGGGCGATCCTCTGTGCCTCTCAAGGGGGGCGGGGGCCTTCCTGGTTGCAGTCTCCTTGGGGTTCCTGTGTTCTGGGGCAGCGCCTGGAACTCTGGGACTTGGAGCTCCCCCCGTCCCCTGCGCATCTTTGGGGGCAGGATCTGTGGTCCCTCACACTCTCTGTTGGACGCTCCTCTAGAGAAACCTTAAATAAACAAGCGCGTGTACACACACAGGTGCTCACATGGTGCTCTCAAAAGTATGGGCTTGTGCATGTTCAACACAGGTCTTAAGACTATGGTGGGCACTTAATGCACTGTGATTTATTATCGTGATTCTTCAGTTAAGCAATGTTGATTATATATTTTTTCCATCAAGTTGACGCAGTGATGGCTAGATCTTGTTGTATTGTTGTTGTGTCCCTTTTTTTGTCTTTTTGCTTTTTTTTTCTTTTTTTTTTGCAGGTCTAGAAGCAGACTCTTGCTCATTGAATATTTTTGTGGAACCCCCCTCTCTCCCCACCTTTTCTTTTCCTTTCTCTTTCACCTCTGTCTCCGTGTCTGGTCAGAATTACAAAGCATTCAGAAACAATAACAATAAAGTTTTAAGTATCAGGCGTGACATTAAAAGCAAACGCTTTGATGCTCCACCTGAGAGTAAATCTGTAAGGCTTGTCACCAGCATTCAGACATCAATTCTGCTTGCTTCACAGCCAGACAGGACACTGTAAAAATAAATAAATAAATAAATAAATAAATAATGCAGCATTTTTTACAGAAAGGTCACACTAATTGCTAATCTGAGTGCAGTCAAAACCAAAGTGTATTAAAACAGCCACAATCTGTAAAATTTGCTTTTTCTCAGATGCCTTTCAGGACATAATCTACAACAGGAAGTATAGCACTTATGTATAACGTGGACGTCATGTTCCAAAACGGCCAAAATATCCTGTTAAAACATGTTTTGAAGAGTCATAAAAGGTTTTAATGCAAAGTTAATTTTACCTCCTGTGTTATGCAGAAGTTCTACATGCTGAAAGTGAATTAAATCACCAGCATACTTTGCAAAGTGTGGCCAAAGACAGTCTCAGTCATAAATAAAAATAGCATAAATAATTGCTGCCATATGAGGAGATCTGAGCCAAGTACAACTCAAGGAGAAGATAAAGGAAGAGAGGAGATTTAGAGACAGACAGATTTATATGGTGAAGCTCATAAGAACCTCACACTGCAGACAAGAACCTGCTAGAGAGGGTAAGGTCATGGTTTTCTCTTCTCTGTAATCACATTCAGCAGCTGGACTGTGACTTTCAGCATTGGCCTTAGACCAGTTGCACATCACGGCTGAGCAAAGTGTGTGTGAGAGTGTTTAGCTGTAGACTGAAGTGATTACTAAGGTGTTTATTCAGGTGTTTATTTAGGCTCAGATGTCCATTCGGCATTGAGGCCTATGATGTGGCCTGGCTGCATGATTGGCAGCTCTTAACCTATAGATCACTGGACAAATACATTCACTAGCTAGACTTGGCTTGGTGCAGCACTGCAAAGTAGGCAAGAGAGACCACTTGGCTAACAAGACCTGGGTGTTTCCCCTCAAATTACGAACAATCTCACTGGAATATTTAGAGGTTAGGGAATGCGACCAGGATGTGATAATAAAGCTTGCCTCTATGAAAGACACCACAGTGAGGACCATACAGAAAAACCACAGACAGACACACACGTAACACACACATACAGTAAAAGCACAATGCCCCAGCTTGTTAATTAGAACCGCAGTGCTGTGGCCAACGACTGGCTCCAAGAGCAGCTTTGTGACAGAGAGTTTGTGATTAGCAACACACACACTCACCCTTGTAAACACATTACACACACCCTGTGCTGACCACAATATCTGAAAAGCTTGCCAACGCTCTCCTCATCATGGCTAAATTAAATGTAGGCTATATCAGAAGTGGTTTCTGGGTAAACAGATGGGCCGGCACAGAGAGGGGATTTACAGTTTATTATGCCATTAAGATATTCGTTTCAAAGTCCATCTGCAACAACAACAAATTTTAGGTGATAAAAGATCATTTTAAGTGAAACCATTTATGCTGTGTCGATCCGCTTGTTAGCAAAACAACAACACATGTTAGCTAACAGTTAATCTAACATTTTTCTGTGACCTCAGCATTAAAGATTTACACTCATTTTAGTTAAAAACATGGCAGTTTGAGTTCAGAGCAGTGTGCAAAAGCTGTGCTCAGCCATTTAGGATTATAATTAATACATTTTTGTTGTTTGCTTGTCAAATCTATTACAGACCAAAAATGGGCAAAAAAGTTTCAATAAATTTTTTTAAATAGAACATTGTATTCATTTTCATTCAAATGTAACATAAATGGCCACTATAGCAGTAGCTATTGCACTGCTGCTCCCTAGAGCAGTAGCTACAGTGCTGCTGTCCCCTATAGCCGTAGCTACAGTGCTGCTGTCCCCTATAGCAGTAGCTACAGAGCTGTTACCCTCTATTGCAGTAGTTACAGCGCTGTTACCCCCTATAGCAGTAGTTACAGTGCTGTTACCCCCTATAGCAGTAGTTACAGTGCTGTTACCCCCTATAGTAGTAGTTACAGTGCTGTTACCCCCTATAGTAGTAGTTACAGTGCTGTTACCCCCTATAGCAGTAATTACAGTGCTGTTACCCCCTATAGTAGTAGTTACAGTGCTGTTACCCTCTATAGCAGTAGTTACAGTGCTGTTACCCCCTATAGCAGTAGTTACAGCGCTGTTACCCCCTATAGCAGTAGTTACAGTGCTGTTACCCTCTATAGCAGTAGTTGCAATGCTGCTGTCCCCTATAGCAGTAGCTACAGTACTGCTGTCCCCTATAGCAGTAGCTACAGTGCTGCTGTACACTATAGCAGTAGCTACAGTACTGCTGTCCCCTATAGCCGTAGCTACAGTGCTGCTGTACCCTATAGCAGTAGCTACAGTACTGCTGTCCCGTATAGCAGTAGCTACAGTGCTGCTGTACCCTATAGCAGTAGCTACAGTACTGCTGTCCCCTATAGCAGTAGCTACAGTACTGCTGTACCCTATAGCAGTAGCTACAGTGCTGTTACCCTCTATAGCAGTAGTTACAGCGCTGTTACCCCCTATAGCAGTAGTTACAGTGCTGTTACCCTCTATAGCAGTAGTTGCAATGCTGCTGTCCCCTATAGCAGTAGCTACAGTACTGCTGTCCCCTATAGCAGTAGCTACAGTGCTGCTGTACACTATAGCAGTAGCTACAGTACTGCTGTCCCCTATAGCAGTAGCTACAGTGCTGCTGTACCCTATAGCAGTAGCTACAGTACTGCTGTCCCCTATAGCAGTAGCTACAGTACTGCTGTCCCCTATAGCAATAGCTACAGTGCTGCCGTACACTATAGCAGTAGCTACAGTACTGCTGTCCCCTATAGCATAAGCTACAGTACTGCTGTCCCCTATAGCAGTAGCTACAGTACTGCTGTCCCGCATAGCAGTAGCTACAGTGCTGCTGTACCCTATAGCAGTAGCTACAGTACTGCTGTCCCGTATAGCAGTAGCTACAGTGCTGCTGTACCCTATAGCAGTAGCTACAGTACTGCTGTCCCCTATAGCAGTAGCTACAGTACTGCTGTCCTGTATAGCAGTAGTTATTGTGGACAGAAAACATGTAAGACAATGTGATCAGATCAAGTATACACAAACATTGCATCCACTGGTTAATGTGCTTAATGGCTGGGTGTTTTCATGTGTGGCTGCAATGTAGCACGGGTAGTTTCATTTTTTAACTTGAGCAAGAAGGTCCTCGGTTCAAATCCTGACTGTTAAATTTGCATGGTCTCTCTTTGCAGGCATGCATTTTTTCAGATGAACCAGTTTCATCCCACAGTTAGAAATCATGTTTTATAGTTTAGTGGTGATTCTAAAGTATCTCTTGATGTGAATGTAAGCATGAAAGGTTATCTTTCAGTGTGACCCTATGGACTGTTAACCTGTCCTGAGTCTCCCCCACCTCTCATCCAGTGACTGCTGGAGGAACCAGCTTCCTACCCCACATAGGATTTAGTGAATCTAAACAATGGATGGGTGAGTGTTCAAACGTGTTTCAACTTCTTCAACAACACTTATTATAAAGACAGTCAGAACCAGCATCCATCATTTAGCTGGCAATACAAACGTACAAATGTAGATTTACTTTAACCTGCAGTATGAAACCAATCATTTGTAGACTTGAAGTGTGAAAAACATGCAACAAGGCTAGGGAATGTCAAGCCGGTCAGTTCAAGTTTGATTTTAATTATTCATCTCAAGGATGTAAAATCAGAAAGATGATAGTAGTAGAATATAGCCTCTAATCAATCTTACATTTGACTCTGTCGCTCTAAATTATTCTCTTAAGATGTGTTGACAAGTACAACAATTTATTGGATTAAGCATTTTAGATTCTTGACAGCAGATATTCTACCCTGGAAGGAAAAAAAATCTGATGGTTTTCTCTCACTAAACCTGGCTCTTTAATGTTAAGGCTAAGTTTTATAGAGAGCAGCTGTTCCCCTCTCGTGTTGCAAGAAAACAAACACAGGAATGTTTACACCAGACTGACAGCCACCCCCATCCATCTATGTGATGCTGTAGGTCTGCTTGGTTCACCTTGAATTCCATGGCAACATCTCGTCATGACAATGTCCAATACAATGTCCAATACAGTGTGTCCTTATATGCAAACTAACACATGCAATGGTGTAGCTGACTACAACAGAACATCTGGTTTGGTCATTCTTGTGATCACAACTTTAGCTGACACAACACTACGATGAAAAATTGAGTTTGGTTTAAATTTTGTAGCACCTTGAAATCAACAGTTATTAGTTTTATTTAATCCAGGGGAAAGGTGAGCTTAAATAGTAGAAACTACTTTGCTGAAAACATTTTTCTGCTTGCAGTTGGAAATCCTTGCCTGTTATCAATGCAGCAAAATGCAATATTAATTCACAGTAGATCAGCATAGCATTTCTTCTTAAATAAGAAGCTTAAATCGCACCCACCTACTTCGAGTCCATGAGTGCCAAAAAAACCAACGAGAGTCTATGGAGGGATACAAGTTAATTTCTGATCCAGTTTGTTATGTGCCATGGATTTCACAAATGGTTCCCAGTCATTTTAAAGACAGATGTCAAAAGTTATTTTAGGTTTTGTGTGAAAAGGTGTTACAGACTACAAATGTGTGTTTCACTAAATTAAGCCAACCAGACATGGAGAAGAGAAGAAGAAAACAGGCTGTGGGTTTTGCGAGCCTCAAATCTTTTTAGGAGGAGCATTAAATGTGGAGAAAACTAATATGAATTGACATGTGGTGGGTAGCAGCTACGCTAGGGGGAGAGGAGATTCTGCAGTGACGTCATATGTGCGACATCTGATTTGTAGTCATTTTAATTTAATATTTTTACAAGCTAATAGATTTCAAATTACGTGACAGACATGGTCGAAACACACATTGTTACTTTTCATTTAAATTGAAGTACAACATATATGTGATTCAGGGCATAAGGCAAAGCAGATTAGTAAATGGCTTTTATTGTCCCTTTCGCTTCCATTCACTCATGGACTCCTAAGCTGACTGGAGGGGGATGAGTCTTAGGCTCCCTATAACCCAACAACTAAATCAGCATTTGTCTCTTTGGTTCCATATTTTTCTTTTTTTCTTTCCGTCTTTCTTGCCAGCTCTGTTCCTTTTCCTTTGAAACAGTCAAAGGATTATATATATATATATATATATATATATATATATATATATATATATATATATATTATATGTGTGTGTATAAATTTTTATCTATTTTTTTCTTGTTTGTTTGTTTGATTTTTGTTTTTTAGAAATTATAAGAGCTTATTACTGTTTATGTATATCACTCAATTCTGAGCTTCACAGAAATTATTCTTAGTAAAAAATGCTTTGGAGGAAGATTTCCTTGAAAGTTTAAGTTATGATTAATCAAGATTAATCATTAATTAGAAATAATCATTAATTAGAAATATGTAAATATATAATTGATTACAACACCTCTAATTAAGTAAATAACTGTACACACACACACACACACACACACACACACACACATATATATATATATATGTGTGTGTGTGTGTGTGTGTGTGTGTGTGATTTTGATTTGTATTCTGATTTGTATCTATCAGTTTTGTAGTGACCTCTGATCTTTACAGATTATACATACTTTTATTGCAACTATTTTTTTACATTTTAAATCCTTTTGATGTCCTGCAAAATGCAAACTATTTGCTACTATGACAATCTTTGAGTAGTTTTGTCAAAGCAACATCTCAGCACACAGGTCTTTCATTACAGTGGATCTACTGTTCTTAACCTCCAAAATCATTCATTCATTAGCTTGACAGCTTGCTCTTCTGAAGTGTCAAAGTCCATCACATGGCAACACAGAAACATACAACCAGTCACTTACTCACATCCAGGTACAATGTAGAGTCTCTAATAAACTTAACTTGGATGTTGTGGGTCTATGGGAGGAAACACATGTAGAAAACCCACACATGCACAAGGTCAGCATGCAATATTCACACCCATAGATGGGATTTAAGTCTGCAGCCGTCTCTCTCAGTGCCACAGGACACGGTGCCACAAATGATGGTGCTAGAAAGCCCCTAAAATTCTACAAATATGCATTTTACTCATTACACAGCACTCTTACACCCCTCTCCCCCGTACCTTTTCTGATAAAGCCTCCTCTAGTGTAGCCAGAGCTGTGTCAGTGTTTCTCGAGTCCGTCTGAAGGCCCTGAACTCTTTCTCTCAGCCCAGCCAGCTGTTTGTCCTTATCCTTTAACTGTTCCAGCAGGTTCTCAATCTGGAGAAAGAGAGAAAGAGATAAAGAAACGAAATAAGGAACATTAGAGGCTCACTGCTATAAAAGAAGCTTCTAACACTAATTAAGATTAGATCGATCATGAAGCAACGACAGCAAGATGTGCCCAGCTTGAGTATCGTCTTGAGACATGTGGTACACAGAAGCATTTTTAAAAAATGACAGCTCTTTCAGGGAGAAGATGACTTCCTGCTGTGATGTTTTCTATTCTGTTTTAGTATTTAAACAAGAAAAGTGAATGGATACTTCCACTGCAAAATATGCAAATAAAAGTGATGCAGTAATACAAATCAAATGGTGGTCCTCGGTTTTTAAGGATAAGTGTAACTAGATAGATATGTGCATGCGAAAAGATACAAAAACACAAAGAAAAGAAAGGGGGAGGAACCGGGTATGCAAGGTCCCTTTCCAGGGTCTAACTTTACTTTACAACTCTCTTTTTCCTTGACAACCTGCTAGGATGTAGTTAGGATGCAGCAAATGTGGACAGCCCCCATCAGCATGAAGGCAATCATGATGCAGCTCCAATCTTATTCACCAAGTAGATAATGCATTGTGGTCGTGCATGCTGGATCTATGATGGGCCTATCACACTCTATCTTACAAAGCACTGGAAACATGCTTGGAGAGCTCACCAAGACCTTGAAAAGACCAAAGAGAGCAAGGAAGCCGGAGCACTCAGGTGAGTCAACAAAGGGCGACACCGTCCTCTACCACCCGCGGAAAAACAGAGAAGGAAGTGATGCCGCCAACAGTGGCGATCTCTGAGGAAGACCGCAGTGGTGGTCGAAACATCAGCAAAAAAAAAAAAAAGGTAAAACAACTCTTTTCCTGTGTTAAAGAAAGAACCAACTAATGCAGTTAGAAGAAACACACAGAATGAATGCACAGAAGATGTTTAAGGTGAGTCAAGTTTTAATAGGTGCAAAATAAAAAAAATAACTACCTACTTTTGCTCCATCATAATGGCCGCCAGTTAGGAATGAGCTAGCGGGTGTAACGGAATAAAATGACTGTTTTCCACCTAAAAGTAATTTCCCCCCTTTCCTTAGCAAGAACTAATCTGCATGAGATATTGCTCAAGGTCTCATGCATTTGCTTCTAAACTGTTTTCCTTTCCAGCCCAAGAGAAGAATGAAGACAAAGGACTCTTTTTAATAAATCAAATAACTCTATTTTTAATAAAGCTAATCAAACTAAGTGTTAGTCAATAATAAGCTGTTGACCAATCGGTGAAATGAGTATGTTATGATTAGTAAGTTTAATAAGTAATATGACTTTAGTCTAGCTGCACTAGACACCCTGATGACACATAATGTAAACGCATTGCTTTTACTCATCCAATCGGAACCTTCCTTTCTGAAGCGTGACATAGTCTCTGTGGTGTTTATAAATCTGTCCAACTTTGATTCAACCATAAATCAAAACAACCAGATTAATAAAGCCAGTCCCACGCCATCTTAAGTCAGTTCACCACATTCTAAGAGAAGTATCGGACCGGCCACCCGGACTTCCTTTTTTAAGCAAAGAACCAACAAGCTGGATAAAATCTGTCGCATTTTACCAACCAAGCAACGGTTCCTACGTACATACATAAATACGTACATAATCCCTGCAATAAAAAGTTCCAATCTTCTGGTTAAATGTACCCAAAGATCCATAAGATTGATTTCCTATTTACTATGGAATCTCATGTCTTATGGCTCATTACATAAATGTAAATTTAACCCTTTACACGGGTAAATTGTCGCCATTAAGTTACGCAACCGCTTCCATAGCTGGAGGAAAGAAAGGGTCAGTCTTTTTACAGCCAGCCTTTGGATCAGTCACCAACACCTGTATATAATAGACGTGACCAACTACACTGATCTAACTCGCATCGAAACGTTTCTGTGCAATTTTTTGATTTTTCACCTATTACAACTTGACTCACCTGATGGCTCCAGCTTCCCTGCTTTCTTCATTCCATCGTCCTCCAGCTGTTTGAGCACCAGTGCAGTGGATGAGGCACAGAGGACTATCTTTCACCTTGCAAAGACCATGAACGTCATCACTGCGGGGCCTTCGTCTTAAATGAAGGAAGTCTAAGAGTTAATTCAGCCTCACAGGAGTTTGTCTCTGCAACTTCATCTTTGTGGCTAAATCCATCTGCCTAAAGCAGTGGAGGAATAGCCAGTTGTGGCATTCATCAACCTTTATCTGATGAACATCTGGAAAGCAGAACCCAAACACACACAAAGACACACATACATGAGCACAGAGAATGCTCTGAGCGATACCAAACAAAGCATTAACAGATGCGGCTGGAGCAGGACGCGCTGCCATGCAACGAGACTGAGGTCTACAAATTTGTTTCAAAGGGACAGCACATCTGGCGATAGAACACGATGATATGGTCATTTGCTTATCAAAATTCTAATGAAAACACATTCCTTTGAGTTTTGAATTAATATAATGAATAAAACATCTGATGGACACTGATGGATTCTCTGAAATTCAGACACAAGCACTGAGTTTTTTAAGTATTTTTTTCTACAGATAAAGATGCCTTCTCTCACTTCCGTACTTTATCAGAAACACACTTAACCCAAGTGACCTGTTCCTAGTGTTGAACATTTACTAAAAAGCTCCATAGGCATTAATTAAATTTTTTTTCATAATTTCAACTGAAAAGGGGTACAAGAAGAATAATTCAGTCCAGTAGGAGACCAGAGTTTACTGTACTATCGACAAAAAAAAGGCTTGTGAGGGATTATAAAAAAAACTGCATTCCAGTCATGGGTACATAGACAGATAAATGTCTAAATTTCCACAACTACTTTACAAACGAATCCAATTAGACTGGAGACTTTGGTGTTTTCTGCTCCCTGGAGGGCAAAAGTAAAGTTTGGAGCAAGCCATCTTGGTTTTGGCAATAGAGGGAAGTGGTAGGAGGGGGTGATAAAAAGCCGCCAGGACCCATCGGCAGATCTTGATATGTTAATGACGGTCATTACACAACCAAGCTGAAGGCTCTGGTAGGTTAGCGAACAACCGATAGGGACATAAAAGCCTTTAGGGAATGATGGGAAAGCTTCACACTACCAAAGTCAGATAAAATTCACAGTCATGGGTGTGTTTGATAAGACTCTGTAAAAAAAGGAGTCGGTGATAGGAAGTTTAGATGGGTTTCCTGGATGCTTCTTTCATGACAAGAAAAACATTAAAAAACAACAGTTTGGTTTGGCCTCTGCTTGTAGTAGTCCACCGGCTTGACATAACGTGTTCTACACATGCACTCATGCGCAACCTTGCTCCATCTACTTGTGGGCACCTCAGAGTCCTGTTTTAGGTCAAATTGAGCATGTCGCCCCTATTCCTCAGTTAAATGATTACATTCTTCACCAGCCTTAAGTTGGCTTTGGCTTGGTCACACAACCTAACACCCCCCCCCCACCCCCACCCCCCACCCACCCCCCACCCCCACCCCCTGATGAAACATTTAGCTCCTTCACTTGACGTTCTGTGAAATTGTGCAGAAACGCATTAAACGCAGCTTAAGGCGCGCACCGGATGAAAACGAGCCACGTGAGTTATGGATATGGGAAAGAGGACATGGAATTTTGTCACAATCTTAAAACTGCAAAAGCTCTCTCAGAGGAACATTGCCTTCTGGAGACAGGCAAGAAGCAAGGTAGCCGTTTACTTGTTTTTGGAGAGAAGTTCCAGACGCCCAGATGTTAGAAGTAAAGAAAGAAAACAATATTTTAGAATAGAATAGGATAGAATAGAATAGAATAGAATAGAATAGAATAGAATAGAATAGAATGGACTTTACTGATCTCACAGTGGGGAAATTCACTTGTTACAACAGCACCAATGCTTAACAGATATTTACTTATATAGCGCCTCTCAAGATAAAAATCACGAGAAGCATGGATGATACACGGCACTGTACCTGCATCTAATTCTCTATCTCTTGTGTGCACACAAGCAGACACACATTCGGAGGGTTTAATCATTAAACTGTGGTGCATATGTCATCCTGCTCTCCAACCAACACACCTCCCACTGAAACAGACCACCTACGATAGGCAGCTTCCAGGCCAGGCAGTGTGGTGTGGATTGTCTGTCTAACTGAACGCATATGCCCTTGAGAAATCATGACGTGTGTTTCAGTTACCCCCTCCCACACACACACACAAACACACATAGCTCCCCAAAGGTTAACCGACTTACTGTTTTCACCCTGATAACTTCATCAAAAGACTGAAAGGATAAAAACAGGTTATTTTTAAAAGTGGGAGTAATGATGTAGCCACCCTTCACTGGCCTTGACTTGGCACATGGCATTAACATTTATAGCTCGAGGAAACAGATGCAGGTGTTCATCATCAAAAACAATGGCACATTAATATATGCATTGCATTTAAATATGTGTAGATTTTTAAAGCTTTCTGCTATTTTAGACAGTAAAGCAGGACCTAAAAAACAATGTTTGTCACTTAAAGTGACAATGTGAAGTTTTTACCATTAATCTCTGGAAATATCCATCAAAATGTTGTTGAACATGAATTAAATGATGCCCAAATATTGGCGGATTCATAACGTACAACCATAAAAATTGGGTCTAAAATACATAATAGCAGGTCTAAGGCCCAATCCCAATACTTCCTCATTATCCCAAACACTTCCACCCTTGCACCCTTCAATTGCGCATTCCAGTCCAGAGGTGTGACTGCTTAGGGCAGTGGTCCGCAAATGGCGGCACGCGGGCCACGCCCGACCCGTGAGCCCTCTCTTTGTGGCCCCCAAACCCCATGCGCACCCCACAACCCCACCCCCGATGGCCGACTGGGAGGTTTAGGATAGATAGAGCGGAGGAAAATAATCTAATAATGCATGAGATGCGGGCATAAAAGATTTTGCATCATAGAAGAGAACCATAATCAGTTATAGTGGAATGTTGTTTTATTTTAACGGCGGCACCAGCGTAGCATCCA